GGGGGGGGGGGGGGGGGGGGCGTACTGAAGTTTCTAGCATGCCTTCAATTCACCACACGTCCTCGAGAGGACGGAGCTAGGAGTGGCGGGGGGGATAGGGTAACAAGGGATTGAACAAAAAACGCACAATTACTCCGGAGCGTAGTTGGCTATGCGCAACACATGCGTCGCTTTGGATGATTATTTCGTGGAGTATTAACCTCTCTAGAAATGCGTCGTTAACTGTCTTGGAGATGACGGCAGTCGGCGGTACAGCACCATCTCTCAGGGCCCGCCAGAAACTTTTCGGGTGTATGCATATGTACCTGAAACGAATCGCGTGAAAAAAACGGAAATATCTTCGTCTCCGCAACTACTACAGGTGTTGTTAACACGACATATTCTCGTTGACCGGGTAACGAGGCATGTGCAAAACACACGGACGCATGACGGATTGTTTTCCACCGCACAGGGAGTTTTCAACATGACGTGCTCTCTGTTCTGATCATCCCATTCGGGCCGCCGCTCGCAGTCTCCACGTAGCCTGCGGTCGCCTCTTTCCACTGCGTAGCTCCGGCCGGGAGTAGGCACAGTAGCATCAACCGTTCCTCCGCGGCGCTTGCGGCGGTCAGGGTTAGCATTCTTTTCTTTCAACAAACGACCAGGGTAAGGCGCAACACTGCCCCCTACAGTCCCGGGACGTGTGATGATGCGGCGTCCAAACGAACGCGTACGGAAAGGGGAAATGCCAAAGGGCAGCGGTCACCGACAGCAACGACAACACCAACAGCCGTCACGAGGACACGTTAAGTGAAAAATCCAACGGCAATAACAACCGTGACACGAGCATCCCAAGCGGATAAAACGGAAAGATTCCAACAGCAACAACACACCTCCCGGCCCAAGCACGCCATACCCCCCACCCCGTCGTACGAGCTCGCGGGAGCAGAGGCCCCGGCCTTATTGTCGACGCCTCCGCCTGGCGGTGGTGCCGACGCCAACCACGGTGGCGTGACGATGACCAGCCTCACCGTCGCCGCGGACTTGGCGTGCTTGCCTGTCCTCTTGAGGAGGGCGGCGAACATCGCTTTCGTGACCTCAGCGGCCGACCTTCCGCGCATGGATGACTCTTCCACCTGCAGGGACCATGAGGAGGGCGGCAAAAAGAAAAAACGTGGTGTCGTGCACAGCTCCACGGGGGTAAATGAAACCGTCTTTAGGTGAAGAATGGAAGCCAACCGCCAACGTCAACTACCACCACCACCATCAACAGCAACAACTGCCAAACACAAGTGGAATACAATACGAGACACACAAACAATAACAACAGAAAAAATGATTCGAACACAATAGGAGGCACACCATTCCGCCCCCCAACCATAAATCGAAGACAAACAGGATGCACAACCACCATCCTTCGTTACCCGCCCAACCGCACCTTTAAAATGCTGGCGCCAGCCCCCACCCCGGCCGAGTCAGCCACCCCTCCCGCTACCACCGCCGCCGCCACCGGAAACCCTGCCCAGGCGTTCGCGACCCCGGGTGCTCGATCATCCGTCACCTGGAAACCAAGGGTGGCCGCGACGCCCGCTTCTCCTTTCTTTCTCTTTAGTCGGTGGTAGATTGCCGGAGGGGCGGGGTTTCGGGTGTGCATTCAGCAGACGAACACAGGGGAGGAAGGGGGAGGAAAGGCAGCAGTCAGCAGAGCTTCGAGGAGGCATGGTTCGTGCTTAGAGCTTGACGAAGGTCTCGGCGGCAGACTGAAGTGGGGAGGTAGCCGTCGGGCGAAAACACCCCCTGCGACTCGCTTTACACAAAAGCCTCCGCTGGGAATACAGCCAGCAGAAAATTAAACAGGATCCAAAACGTGCACTCAGGCAGCACAGATCCGGAAGCATACGTTTTACACACGGACGGACGTGGTGAAAAAAAAAAAGGATGCGACATCGTCAAACAGCTCTTCCCCCGTCTTCCGTTAGACAGAAAAACCGAAAACATTTCCGTTGGGCCTGCTCTTTTTTTTGTGCCACCGCCGCGGTTCAATGGCTACCTTCGCGAACCTCGCACGAACGTGGAGTTTTTGACGCTATCGCGACCAAGGAGCCTTGTGGCCGTACCCGCGGCATCTGAGGCGCATGCGAGGCTTGGTCTTTGTAGTGCTGCAGTTGCGTACGTTGTACCCAGGGTCGGCACACCTTGTGCAGAACTTGTACGTTGATTTCTGCACGAGGTGTGCCGACCCTGGGTACAACGTACGCAACTGCAGCACTTCAAGGACCAAGCCCCGCATATGTTACGGCCACAAGGCTCGGGTGTGGTGCAAAATTCACCGTGTTCGATGACGCTACGTACCAAGCGTCCTCGATTGTGCGTGAGGTGTGGGTGGTACGGTTGCCCCAGGAGGAACCTTTGTCTGGGGAGAGCACATTTCCGGGTCCCGCCGTGTAAAATGCGGCGTGTACAGGTACCCCACGTCGGGCTGGCTGCCCGGGGTCAGCCTCCCATGCCCGCTGTATATAAAGAAGAGGAGGACTAAGTTTCAGGCTAAGAAGATAGATGACCATGCAAGGACTGGAGAAAGTTATCGAGCTAGGCGGTTTCGCCTACCCAATCCACAAGGCCTGGTCTGAAGGAGGAACAACGACAACCGGGAGCAAACATCAATCCATTTTTTTGGCGACCCCGCGTCAGAACCGCACGAAGAGGCCCTCCAAGAGATGGAACTACTGTTGTAGAATTGTCTCAATCTCATTTCGACGATGTCAGCGACCTGCGATCTGAAGAAGCCGAAATCAAACCAATAGACTGGTCAGCTCTGCTTAGTCTAATGGTTTGATGTCGGCTTTTATAGATCGTTAGCCGCGATAGCCATCCATGTTCTTCACAGACGCAACAAAATATACATTATGAAATCAGGCAGCTGGCAATTATGTACGGCCGCGGTTTGCCTACACAAAGGGTCCTCTCCAGTTGGACGATCCCCCTGCTCTTGAGCTGTTCTTGGGGACGCCACCGTCCGTTCTCACCCCGTTCACGGCACGCTCTCAGAGAGAGAGAGAGAGAGAGAGAGAGAGAGAGAGAGAGAGAGAGAGAAAGAGAAAGTCATCACGGGGATCATACTCCTCCGTATATTTTGTCCGCGCCCCACCCCCGCACTCCTCACCAACATCAATAGGGTCCCAGGCGTCCTTCCCCAAACCCCGATAAGGAAAAAAAAATCGGGTGGGCGATCACATTTCCTCCATCTATTCCCTTTGATCCGGGGACGTTTGGTTACCACCCCCGGACTGTACGGAGGAACACCAGCCCTTCACGGGTCTCTCTCTCTAAACTATTCCTACACAAACCAACTTCGATAGGAGCATGCAAAGAAAAGGGGGGGGCAGGGTGTCCGGGATTCTGCTTCCCGTGCTCACCTCGATCCCGCCCTCCACCACCAGCCTGCAAACCACCACGGCCTGCCTCCGGTGCTGCTGCTGCTGCTCCCCGGCGGCCGTCCCGGCGCCGCCCTCCAGCAACGCCTCCGCCCTCCGCACCTCCCGCACCGTCACGAGGGCGCTCTCCTCGGCTCGACCCGCCAAGCACGGGTACCTGTCCTCAACCTCCTTAGCGGCTTCCGCCGCCGCCACCGCCGCAGGCTGTGGAAGAGCCACACACCCCTTGTTCTTCTCGCCGCCCCCCGCCCAGGCCTCGAAAGCCGTCTCCCAGCGCTTCTTGGGGGGAAGGGGTCGCCGCATTGCCCCGATGATGCCGCCGCCGCCGGCGGGAAGACCTCCTGCCCCGCACCAGCTGCCGGCCCTCCCTAACCCCCCATCAGGACCCTCCGGGTCGGAGTCCGAATCATCGGAGCCCAGCGCGCGCCCGGCGATAAACGATCCCCCCCCGCTGTTGGCGTCTACCAACGGCAGTGGCTGTCGACGATGGTCGAGGAGATTTGAGGTTGACGAGGTCGTCGATCCGCGCCGCATGACCCCGCTCTGCCCGCTGCCGCTGCTAGCGGCACTGGCGGTGCTGACTCGTCGCTTGAGCCTCGGGGGGCCGCTCTCTCCGCCGCCGGCGCCGCCTTCGCTCGTGGAAGGGGAAGCTCGCCCCCCGCCGCCGTTCTGGGGAAACCCGCGGCGTTTGCCGGTGCCGTTGCTGCTGCCCCCGCCGACCCTCGATCTCGCGGTGGCGCCGCCCCCGGCGCCGCCTTTGGGCGGCGCTGCCGCCGCCGGCCCGCTAGCGGTGGAAGACGTCAGCGACGCCGACCGCGTCAGCTGCTGGGAAGAAGAAGGCACGGCGCCCCCGAGAGTCGGCGCCTGTGCGGGCAGAAGCGGCGGCGGCGACGTTGATGACGATTCGGAGGGCGTTACGGCAGAATCTCCGGCGGCGGCGGCAGCGGCGGCGGCGGTGGCGGCGGCGGAGGCGGCGGCGGCGGCGGCGGCGACGGCGGCGGCTTCATCGTCGGTGCTTTTGTCTCGGGGGCGGCAGCGCTTGGAGTGCTGCTGGAGGACGTCTGGGACTACGTCCACGACCTCCCCGCAGTTGCGGCACTCCATGGTCGCGCCAGCCTCCCACTGCAGCACGATCTTGCAGTCGCTCCTGCGCGAGTGCCATTTGGGTAGATGTATAGAGGGAAGCAAAACACGGCATCAAAGGCAGTACAATACCTGGCAGGTAATGGAACACACTGGTTGATGGACGAAGTGACAACGTGTTTTCCGATTCTGTCCTGTCGCTTGTGTATCGTAGCGATTCTAAAAAAACAACAACAGCTTGTCTCCCTGCCGCTGTTGAGAGAGAGAGAGAACAGAAAACAACGCCCCCAAAAAACTCACATCTGGACGTGTGTCGAAATCCTTCGGAAGGACTTCGTGCAGACCGGACACGGCCACAGGCTCTCGCTCGTCCTCCGGGAGCCCTTACCCTCGCTCCCTGCCGGTCCTTCCTTTGCGCCCGAATCCCTCACCCCCCCGGCTTTCGGCCGCCGGGACCCCACCACCGCGGCGGCTATCCCCCCGACCGGCGGGAAGTCGCCGCGTGCAACAGCGGGTCTGCCCGCCGCAGTCGAGCGTTTCCTCAAGGCCGCGAAGGCATCGAGCTGGGCGCGCCCGGCAGGGGTGCTCCCGCACACATTGTTCCTAGCGAGGTGCGCGGAGAGTCGCTCGAACATGGTGCCGCAGGTGGGGCAGACGCCGGAGAAGGTCTTCTTGACCCCCTGCTGCTGCTGCTGCTGCTGCTGCTGCGCTGCTGCTGCTGCAGCTAATCCATCGCCATCGTTGTTCGAGAAAATTGCCGACCCGCCTCCGCCGCCGGTTACGGAGAAGTAGCTCGAGGCGGTGGAAGACGCGTCCGGGGAAGGTGACCGCCGGGACAGCGAGGAAGACACCGGCGAGGATGTCGACAACGACGACGGCCACTGCTGTGGCTGCTGCTGCTGCTGCCGCCGGCTGATGCTGCTGCCGTTGCCGCCGTTGCCGGGGGCTGACGCCGCGGAGCTCGTCTTCGTCCCGCCGCCGCCGCCGCCGCCGCCGCCGGTGTGGTCGACGAAGGCCGGGAATCCGGTGGCGCGGCTGTGCCTCGTCGGAGACAAGCGGGATGGCGAGGGTGACGGGCTGTCCACGTCCATGGCTGCTTTAACTAGTGTGTGTCTACTGTTTCTCGCCCGCCGCCGCCTACCTCCTCTTGCACCGCGAGAACCGGGTGGCTTTTTCTTCGCGAGTGGCGCTAAGAAAACGGGCGCCAGCGAAAAAAGGACGGGGAGAGAGTGAAAACGCCTTCTCGTCTTGGCTGCCTTAAGATATTTCGTTGCTCGTCGTCGATAAACGAATGTTTCTCTATGGATTCAGACCCCAAGTGATGTGTGAATGTTACGCTATGCAGCGGACAGGCTTGAGGATCTGGGAGTGCATGGTATACATGGCATCCTGCAGGGATCTCGATTCGGCGCATTCTCGAAAACCACAAGGTCGTGACATTGGGGGGAAGAAGTAGTCTTGTAAGGCACCGCGGCATTTCGGTAACTTACTGCCGTGTCATGCCAGATAAAAGTTGCAGCGATGACCATCTTCAGCGGACAACGTGTGGTGCGCCACAGACAAAAGCAGGTGTGTTTGGGTACGTATCGTTGGCATTCTTTCGTGGTACACCGTTCTATCGCTCACTCACCAACGTCTTCGAAACTTGTAACGGATGAGAAAAGAGAGCGGACGCCGCCTTCCCCGTTCCTGGGCGTCTCGTTGGGGTGTGCCACCACCACCGCCGCGCCGCCGCCGCCGCCGCCGCCGCCGCCGCCGCTGCCTATCCTTCTCGGGCGAGCTACAGTAGCAGTAACTCGTTTCTCCTAGACAGTCTACTGCCAGCGTGTACAACCATCGACGACACGAACAACCTCCTTGCCAGATGCAAAAGGGCGTCGAAAGGTTTTCGTTTTCCGCCTAGCTCCCAGTCCCCCTCGTCCCTTCCTTCTTCCCACGAGAACACTTGGCCAGCACACCTGCTGGTTCCATGCAGCACGAAGGGGCAGCATCACCATTGTTACATTTCGTTGGCGTATTGCGTAAGATATCGTACCCCCTGACGTAACCTGAAGTGAACTGTAACAGCCCGGATACTCGGGAGTACAGGCAGCAGTGACGGCGCCGAAAATGGCGGCGTTGGAATGGTTTTATTGAGAGCCTTCCGGAAACGTACGGTATGATATTCGACATCCTCTTTGTAGTGGAGAAAACGAGCTTTGAAAATCGGTCCAGGGGGGGTGGTATCCTACGTAATTTCAGTATATCGATATACCCTTCGAACGGTACGTGCAACCGTCGGCATGAACGACAGGGATACCTGCCTGTTGGTGTGTGAGCAGCCTCTCGGACGAGGGTGGCCTTGTTGGGGTGTGTGTGTTCACCGAATGCGCAGTTATGGCCAACCCGCAAGCTGTAGGCATGGATCATTCCACGGGCAGGTTTAGTACAGTACAATACTGCCAGTATTTTCAGTATTGCAGTACCTTTGGCCATAATATACTGTACTGCACGCTTTAGTACAGCTTTCGATACTGGAATAAAAATACTGCACGCTTCAGTACAGCTTTCAATACTGGAATAAAAATACTGCA